CAAGCAACAAAATCAAGTTTTGATTCAATCATAATAAATTATAATCGAAAATTTCAATCGATTTTTATTTTTATTTTGTTGCAAAATAATTCACATTAAATCAATAAAATTTTTCACTGAGTACTGTTCATTTTATTTTTGTTTTTGTTGTGAACCTATAAAGTGCGAATAAAATTGATAATGAAAGTCTATATATATCAGGAGGATGGTATTTAAAAAAAAATGCAAGAATCCGATTAGTTTACTCAGGAAAATGGTCCTACACTATAAAAAAAAGAATCTGTCCTGGATTTCAAAAGAAGTGCAAGATTCTTTCCAGATTTTGGATTTCTTGCTTCACCATCCAAGATTCTGTCTACCTGATTCTTTTCACTTCCACAAGATCTTGTAAATCAGGCAAGAATCTTATATAAAAAGGATGGAAGAAGACTCTTGGCTGATTTTTTTGCAAAATAAGAATCTGGAAAGAATAGAGCCAAGAACGTCGACTTGTGTTCTTTTGTTTCTTCTTATAGCTTTCGTTCTTTTCTTTCATAAAAGATCTTTTGTTCCTTTTCGTCCCTCTCGATTATCTTTTTTTTCTTTCTTGTGAAAAGTCAAGAAAGCATTGTTCTTGACCCTGAGAAAAAATTATTGCGTAGTTAATAATGCGTAACAACAATATATATGTATAGAGAGAGAGACAGGGATAGATATACAGATGTATACGTAAAAAAAGTGGTGGTGACTTGTCCTGAATATATAAAAAAAATAACATCATATAAATTTAAAAATATACACTTCAACGAGAATTGTGGAACATAACATATTGGTGCACTAGCCGGTGTTGAATGTGTATATGGTACAAACAAGACAACAAGTGAAAAGACAAGAAGAACTTGATAATTTAAAAACCAACGAAGAATTTCAAAGACTAACTGGTATTGAAATTGCAGAAATAACTCATTTACAAAATCTTGAATATATTGTATATCGACCAAATTCATTTATTATGACTGAAAAATTAATCAATACAATTTTATCCAATAACTTGGATAAATTACCAAAGTTTGGTGGTAAAAGTAATGAAAATGTCAACAAATGGTTAACTGATATTACAAATGAATTGAATATAGTTAAACTTAATGATGAACAGAAATTTTCTGTTATTCAAACATTTTTAGTAGATGATGCTCGTCGTTGGTATATTAATAATATGTCTATGATCAATGATTGGTCCACATTTTCAATTCAACTACAAAAAACTTTTTCATCAATATTTCATCAAGAATTAGCATTAAAAAACTCAGTAATCATCAACAAGGCTTAGATGAAACTGTTTTACATTATTATAATGACATGATGGAATTATTTGATACGATTGATTTAAATATGAATGATCAATATAAAGTAGCATATTTGAAAGTAGGACTTAAGATTTCACCAAAGAAAGAAGTGATACGACGAGATCCAAAAATTGCAGCACAGTTTTTGGAAATAGCACAAACAGAAGAAAAATTAGATTTATCATTAAATTTACAAATGGATCATCTATCATTATCAAATATCGATTCTCTATCAGCAATTAAGTCACCGGTTAAGACCTATTCTCAACAACAACAACAAAAATCATATCGACCATCAACAAATATTAGATGTTACAGATGTAATCGATTTCGACATTTTGCTCGTGATTGTTTTTCAAAAAACTACTAGTGGAAGCCAATGATGGTACAGCTCTCGCTAGTTTACATCATTCATCTTTAATTTTTATTTCAACTTCGATTAATAATATGAAAATTTTCGCTATGATTGATAGTGGAGCAACATCATCATTAATTACAATATCCACCATTATGAAATTGAATTATCACAAGTAACGCTCGTCGTTACGACTCGCTTAGCCCTCGACTGAATCCCGTCCATTCATTATCGATCATTACCTTCTAGATTTCGTTGTGAAAACTATTGTTATATACACATACATGTATGAAAAAAACCGTATACAATTGTAGGAGACGACCACTTTCTAAAAAGATTTCGCTTTTCAATTTTCTCCTCGGATTTTCCAAATTTAACCGTAAGAGGCAGCTCACAGTTAGTAGACGTGGTCAATACGAGCCACCACTCGCGACTGCTCGCTTTCGTATATGACACCGGTATGGTTTTAAACAGTCCTTCACTTTCTTCTTAATCCTTTCGCTCTGTGATTTTTTGACAAATTGTTAATGTTCCTAACCATTGCACGCAGTACCATACATTTCATTCGCATTTTTCTGCAAGACCTTCTTCCGTCTGAAGCTACAACGTCAGCCCTGTGCCTGTCATTATCGCTATTCTTGGTTCGTAACTCGTTATTCCAGTCCATTTATCGAGGATCAAAACTCATTACCGCACTGAGTTTTTCGCAATTTCCAGACACTTTCAACCGATGAGATTCGATCAACGAGCAATTTTATATAAAATCCGTCGGCCCAAGGTGTACCTTCGCCGAACCCACCAGATCACGGGCTAGTCGTTCGTCGGCGCCCCTTTAGGGCGCCACTCATGGCTAGCCGGTTTCATGCTTAAACCAACATTCCCAGTAAATCACCCTCTTTTCTTCGCATTCTAGTCGGGTCACGTTTGGCTTACTGTAAAACATTGTTGTATTTATAACCAAAAACTCTTAGGTCAGAAGTTCCAAAAATCATAGTTTCTTGTAATCTGTTCCTTACAGTTTTAATTGCCAGAGCTTTTGAAAAATCGATGTTCTACAAGGCATAGCTACCTGTGAACAAAGGAGAAAGGAAACTTCTAGACCGCTATAAGTACCGACTTCTCCCAGTCTTGCAACAATTGATTGCAGCAGAGCCGTACAATAGAAAAATTTGATTAACTCAGTTTCCAGCTGAAAAAAACTGGTTGAACAAAGCGAAATCGCGAAAACATTTCACTCACACAAACCTCAGTTTCGTAAAAATCTCATTGGGCAAGAGCGAGAGAATGAGAAGATTTCATTGCTGAAGCTCTTGCGCAAAAACCTTATTGGACAACACTCGGTCAGCGAAAACATGTCTCACTGGACTTCCTGCCTGTGAAAATCTGATTGGTCGAAAGCTCAATGTCAAAAAACGCCTGATTGGCTGGATTTTTGGCATGAAAAAATCCGATTGGCTGAAAGCCCAATATCAAAAACCCCTGATTGGCTGGATTTTTGGCATGAAAAAATCCGATTGGCTGAAAGCCCAATATCGAAAACCCCTGATTGGCTGGATTTTCGGCATAAAGAATCCGATTGTTGAAACGCCACATATCGAAAATTTCCTCAAAGCAGATGTTTTTTGACCCTGACACAAACACAGACGCATACAACCTTATTTTATTTCATATGACCCTCCCTACAGTCGAGGGAATAAGTAGTTAATAATTAATTAAAACTAACCTCAGATTCAAATTCTCCACCCTCGATTACCTTTTGGTCAAGTTTTATACAAAATGTGAATCATAAATAATTAATTAATAATCAATTGATTATTAATTATTAATTAATTAAAACTAACCTCAGATTCGAATTTTCCACCCTCGATTACCCTTTGGTCAAGTTTTGTACAAAATATTAATAATTAATAATTAATTAATAATCAGTTAATAATTAGTTAATAATCAATTAAAACTAGCCTCATATTCGAATTTTCCACCATCGATTACCCCTTGGTCCAGTTTTATACAAAATATTAATAATTAGTTAATAATTAGTTAATAATTAATTAAAACTGACCTCTGATTCGAATTCTCCACCCTCGATTACCCTTTGGTCAAGTTTTCTACAAAATATTAATAATTAACAATTAATTAATAATAAGTTAATAATTAATTAATAACTAATTAAAAGTAACCTCAGATTCAAGTTCCCCACCCTCGATTACCCTTCGGTAAAGTTTTATGTAGAAGCGGATGTTTTTTTGACCCTGACACAAACATACACACAAACTATTTTTTTTCATATGACCCTCCTTTCAATCGAGGGAAAAATCGAATTCATAAGCAAACAGGTGAAATTACTTTAGATGATTCAAAAACTAAAATAACTCAGTACGAATGGATTTTTTTAAATTTAAAAATAAACGGATTAAATTGTAAGATAAGAGCTATAATTGTTGATCACCTATCGACTAATTTCATTTTAGGAATGGATTTTTTATTAAAATATAGAATAGAAATAAAAACTATGTAACAATGTCTTGTTATTCATCACCAACAATTATATGTTAAATTTGAGAGACTGAATTCTGTTAGATTAGTTCAACCATATACTATTTTACCAAGATGCAAATGTATTGTAAATGCTGCAGTGCCTGGTATTAATTATTCTAATAAAATGTTTTTAAACGTTATTAGTGAAAATACTCAACAATACAAAAGAATTAGACTTTGTGATGGATTGGATGTGGGTGTGGGTGTGAGGTGTGGGTGTGGGTGTGAGGTGTGGGTGTGGGTG